CTATTGCAACTTAGGTACGTGCACACAATGTGGGTGTAAGGGCAAGAGAAAGAATGTATTGCATTCACAGATGCTGTTCTACCCATAAAATGATCCCACTGATTCATACCTTCTATTTAGAAGTTGCAACATACCAAAACAGAGTAAAATTCAATTGAAATACACGTTCATGTTCCTAAAATGAACTTCTGATAATATATTTGCAGCCCTTGGGTCACAATTGATCCTCACTTTAATTTCAAAACTATATGTGAAATCAGGTCAGACCTTGGTTCAGAACTATCCCTTCCCTGAAGGTCGAGAAAATAAAGAATGGGTGGGGGAAGGAAAGGGGGTGGAAGCCATTAATGCCCACTTCAGGCCCTAGGCCGACACATATTTTTTTGTACTTAGCACAAGGCTTCCATAGCAATGCTGAAAAGAGTTTCAGATCAGTGGTTAGATTTGCTATGCAATTTTAGAAACTCTCTGATATGCACATGGAAGCAATTAAGCTTTCCATAAATTTCTTTAAACCTGTCTTTCCTACTTTCAAAAACTAATGCATGTTTGGTTGATCTTCTCTGAGAAGTGATTTCTTGTCAGTCTACTTAGCAGATTTTAAAGTCTCTGCTGCCAGTGAGAACAATGGAACACTGTTTAAAACAATGGAGACCATCCCATGATTGGTGACTTCTAGCAATGGAAAAATGTTATGTTGAGAATATTAAAGATGTATTACTTTTTGATGAACTTAGAGAACAATGAGTTTGAGAAATGTGTTTTGTTCTGAATATCTATGCCTCCCTCTCCCCCCAAAGAACCTACCACTTTCACCTAGATGGGTCCTCATCTGTAGCAGAAGCAACTAGTGCCTTAAGAATGCAAATAGCTCCTGCTTTTGTGGCTCCTGAATCACTCTCTTCTTGTACCAAATTCAGTGATGTGATGGCTGAAAATGTGCATTAAGCATTATAATTTCCTTCTTAAGAACCTTCCTCTCAACCCCATTGCATGTGGAAATAGTATCCCCCAACACAGGCCTTGAAATAGCACCATTTGTGTCACTTCAGTAGTGACTGTATCGGGAGAGTATTCATCTCATTTCTAGATTGCTTCTTTCAGCTGTGGCAAATCCTCATCTCTGATCAATATTCTTTTTCCTCTATGACCATTTTAGTTTGTTTTGAAGGAATGACAGGATACCAGCCACATTAACATCACTGGAGAAGCAACAGAAGAGCACCTCACTAAATACAGTGATCCCCATCTTTCATTCTCTGTAGCTAAGCCAAGATTATTATAGCAATATTTTGAATTACTTTGGTCTAGTCTATTGGTTAAGAAAGCAGAAGAGCCTGAATTCAAATTCTGGCTTAGGCAAGAAAGTCAGCTGGGTCAGTCAGTCACCCTCTCTCAGAGCAAGCTCCCTCACAGGGTTATTGCTGGGAAAATAGGAAGGGGAAGGTGTGTTCGATATGTTTTTTATTATTATTTTTGCAAAAAGCTTTGTAAAAGTAATAAAGATGGTATCCGAATAATTTTTTGAAACGTTCTGTCTCCAATGTTGTTTAATACTACCAAGACAGAAAAAAGTAGACCAAACTTTATAATTATGGTTCCATAAAACCTTTTCCAATGTTCTGTTTCAGAGAACTGAAAATGGACTTCATTGTTCCCTTGAATCAAAATGATCTCAGACTTACAGTAAATTTTAAAGTAATCATTATTTAACGTAATGCAGTTCTTTAAAGATTAGCAAGCTTTCTTTTAAATTGCCACTGAATATCTTTTCAGTGCCTTGTACCTTTTCCATTTTCTAAATTATAAACAATTTGGGTGCAGTCAAATCAATTGTTTATGGATTAGAACATCTACTGTCATTCAAAACTCTCTGTTAATAAAAGCAACTGAATTTACATTTGGAAAGAAGCTTTGAACTTTTGTATCTAACAACATCATTGAAACTTGAAGTATTTTTTTCTAGGTGAATATTTGTTAGAAAACTCTATTTGAACTATGGCTGACATTTTGCACATATGAGGTGTATGTAAAACTAACATAATAGTAATCTCATTTTGTCAGACACAACTATAAACAAATAAAGTTTGGAAGATAAAGCTTCTCTTATTGCAATGAGGAAAACTGCTTAAGAATTTATCCTGTATTTCATACAAATGTTCCATTAGTATTTGTTTTAACGTATCAGTAGCAGCCACCTTTGAATTACAGAATAAACTAAGAGGAATCTTTTTCAGTTCTGAAGACCACATTCCCTAACTGGCAAACTTCCAGGAAGGAGTTTCAGGCTGGAGTTTAACTATTTATACCTATCAAAGCTTTTAACTTCTTGCCTGCATAATGGAAAAGAAAGGGACATCAGATTTGATGTATCTCATTTATACTGTGCTGAGACATGGTTATATTTAATTTCACAGCCAACTGAAGAAGTTCATTTCTCCATAATCTAAAAATATAGTAAGTAAATGGAAAAAAAGTGATTTTGAAGATATATGCATCCTTAATATGAGAAGTTAACATCACAGAATTCAACAAACAAACCATAATTAAAAGCATTAAAACAAAACGAATGAATGAATGAGAAAGTAATTTAAGAAACACTGGGTTGCCTCAATTGTTATTATCTCCCACACAATGCTTATTTGCTGTCCTCAGACCAACACTACAGGCAAATAATATATTTTTATTATTAAATTAATTTAATATTATTTAAATTTCACTATCCAAGAATAAGTTATGAAACTTCTTATAAAGCCCAATTTCCCAAGGCTAACTAGAAGATGAAAATGAGATTGAATTGCAGCCATTAAGAAATAAGTAAATGAAGAACTGAGCTGAACTTAATTCAATTATTTATATATATGAAAAGTTTCTTCTAAATATCTGTAGGGACATCTTTCAGAAAATATTCACTGCTTCAGAGAGAAACCAGCATGCCAGAGGTGGCACGTAGAACCCTCTCTCTGGGTACACAGAGCCGTCACTCCAGCTCAGCTCTGCCACACATGCACCTCCTGCCAGCCAGCTGGTCTTCAGGTCTCTGCCATGCATGTGCAGGGGGCAGGGCGTACACAGGGGTTGTGTGTGCCTAAGCAGGGGTGTGGAGAGGGAACACATGTATGCACAGGGGGAGGGACACATGTGCAGGGCACACACACATTGCATTTTGGGAATGTACACTTTGGGCACTTGTTGCCAAAAAGGTTAGTCATCACTGGCCTAACCTCTCAGAAAATACCTGAATCAGATTTGTTACATGAGATAGGTAACATTCTCTTCACCAAATAGTCATGGATGAATGGGATCATTTATAAGAATCGCCCAGGGAGAAAGCAGCAATAATGGGATTAAAGAAAATGTTTTGAAGAAGCAGCTGGCAGGATAAACAGTGGCATTCTCAAAAGAAAGCGATATCAGTGCAACTATAATATTCTTCAGGATAAAGACACTAAAGGTCTCGGTCTCACTCAAACCTGAACTGGAGAAGATATTCAGCATACCACAGGACATGATAAATCGGTGTTTGTCTATGCCTGTAAACATTACAAAGTTTGCAGTCTCAGTGACTCTTATTGAAGCTTGATGCTCTAAGGCAGGGATGTCAAACTTGCGTTGTCACGGCATCGTCATGTGATGTATCGCAACTTTTTTGCCCTTCACTAAAGCGTGGGCATGGCTATCATGTGATGCATCTGGTCCGTGGACCATGAGTTTGACAGCCCTGTTCTAAGTTATACCAGAGCATTTGACTGAAAGCCAATGCAGAATGTGGTTTTGAAGAAGTAAGCTAAACAATGTTTGCTTATTTTTAAGGATTTCTTTTATTTTCTCAAAAATTAGCAAGAAGGAACCCTTTGAATGACATTAAGGAAGATAATCTTTAGTGAATAACAAAGCCAGTAATATTAAAGTGTCATCACCAGAAGCCCACTGAACTACACTTGAGAAAATATGAGAAATAATAATCTTGATTAGTCTCTTTTAATATCATCTGAATCACCTGCTAGTTACAGGTGATTAATACAACTGAGTACTCAGAAAGTAATATACTTTAGTAGAATATTAAAAAAAAAACTTTGAGTGCATTTGTTACTCACAATGAGTAACAAGAGCAAGATCAATAATAGCAGGGGAAGAGGTTTTAAAATGATTTACCCTGTAAACCTGCCAATTATATTCACTTCTAAATTTGGTTTACCAGCAGTTCTGCTAATATTTAATAATGGATTTGAGTTTTCTTTCACTTCTGAAATGTACAGACATTTTAATCTATCACAAATATGATAAGAAAGAAGTAAGATTGGACTTCCGGTTTGAGCTTCGGCGACACCGAAATCTGCGATCGTCCGCGGTTTCGATCCGTGCTTGCTGCCAGAGTGCCCCGAGCTGGCTGGATTAAGGGCTAAGCCATCCCATAGAGGTGGTGAAGAGGAGGGATTGGAATACTATAAATATGGTTTTTCTGCTTGTATAGCTGGGACATCCTGACTTGTTTCCACTCATATGATTTTTATAGATTTTCATATGGCATCTAGATGTTTTATGTGCATGTGTGTGTTTGTATGCATATGTAATGTGTATGTTATATGCATACACACACACATACATATTCATTTATGCACACATGTATACCCAGCAAAAATAATTCTCTGTCCTCTATTACAATTTTGAACTTTACTAAAGTACAAGAACAAATCTATTGCTTTTGATACCAAAAATAAATGAAGTGCATTTATGCCAAACACTGTGACAAAACTTGTAATTATATATGCAGATTTGCATCCTGGCAAAAGAAGGCCCTAAAATTTATAGGAATTGTTACTAAAGGTTAGGGCTAATCTATTTTTTTTTAATAAATTCCATTTTAAAATGGTAGTTTTTATGTTGTTGAATCGAACAAGATACCATTGTGCAATGATTTGAACTGCTATGGTTTTTGTTAACCTTTATACAAGAACATAAACATGTACTAACAATAATTTCTTTTTTCCTTTACTTACCTGCACAGTTTGATAAGCTGAAGGATCAAATCCTTTTACACTAATTTCTCGGAAAACTCTTGGCTCTAATTCTTCTTTAGTCAGATCACAATGATAAATAATACCTAAACATATAATTCAAAGCTGTTATTTGGTTAATATGTTTTTATTGACAGAAGCACACAAGTAAATATCTTTTATCCCAAAGAAACAGACTAAAAAAACCCTCTTAACTAAACCATACCCCTGCTTATTAAGTTAAATATGTAGAAAGCTTAGAAAATACAAAATAACAAAATAGTAATTTATCAAGAATTTTAGTTAATATACATTTGATGAATTTTAAAGCCTGCTGTAATTAATATTTTTAAATAGTACACTTATTTTATTCCATTAAAACGAGACATAAAGACAATATTTGTAGCTATTTTTCCTTTAATAAAAACTAGATTCACAGCTAGACTTATTTATATGCAATGTTTCACATGCAATGCTCTAGACAAAAATGGATTCAAATGAAGCTATATGCTTTGACATGTTCATCATTAATGTACACTCCTTCCACTTACAGATGACCTCTTTTTGTACTGTAGCAATATCTTTTCTTATTTTTCTTCAGGACGTAATGAGAAAACAATCCCTATTTCCAGGTAATTCTCTTTCAGATCAGTCTATAGCTTCTCTCTCATTATTTATATCTGAATGTCCCCTTAATTCCACCAAATGATGGAGCTAATCTCCAATTTCTTTTGGATAGAACAAACAAAACAAAATTAAATTATTATCATTGCACTGCTATTATTGGATTTAAATTGAACAACTCAAGCTGATTACCCAAGGAAGAATTTGTACCTGGGGTGTGTGTGTGTGTGGCAAAGAGGAGATACAATGAATTTCAGAATGGACCTGCCCTCATCATAAACTTACATTTTCTTAAAGAAATCTTATTGATTCAATCAAGTTAGATGGCACATGTACAATGCCTAAATGTACAAATTAGGAAGCAAAGAAAACTAAAATAAGACAACCATTGAGCAGATAAGAAAAGCAAGATATGGTATTGTTTATCCAAGGTCTTATTGATCAATTTGATCAAGTGGAAAGTCAGTGAAAAAGAGAAGACAATGGGGGCAGAATACAGATGTAAACATCTATAGAAGTTTACATCTGTGTTTACATCTATAGAAGTTTATATCTGTTTTGAAGTATAAAGTCTAGTTGCGTCCAGAAAAAGCACCTTTGAGACAACCATGACCTGGATGACAGAATAGAATAGATGCAAATTACCAGCTGTCTGCAAGAAATATAAATCTTTCCATTTCCCACTGTCCTGTCAGAGCTGAAGAAGCTTCTTGGATGAGAAGTGAAATGTCTTCAAAGAAAAAACAAGGAAGCCCAGTTGCTCCAGAAAAAGCACCTTTGGGACAACCATGACCTGGATGATTGAGAATTTCTACAGACATCTGTAGAAGTTGAATCTGCTAAATCTTTTTGGAATTTTTAAATAGTGAATCATTGCTTCAAGGTTAAGCGTTTGGAAGACTTTATTTTCTGTTACCGGTACTACTTTAAGTATGTATTACCCATACCATCTTCAAATAAGTGTTTAATGTCAACTTGCCATGGCCACCTTGTTGCAAGAAAATTTGCCATAGGACAATTTAACAATTCAATTTAATTATTTAAAATAATACAAAAAATATTTTAATTTTTGTTATTCACATTTCATTTTGTCCCTTCTTTTTCCCTCCTTTTAAAAATGATTCTATTCCACAATTTCTTCAGCATTAGTGTAACTCTTGTCCCGCATCGAGCTGTCCCATAGCAAGTCGGCTGTGGCAAGTTGTCCTAGATCTTTAGGCATAACCTCTCTAGAATGGGAAACTTAACCTAGTTTCTTCCGGTTTGCTGCTATGAGCTTGAAAAAGCAAAATAGGAAAACTTGATAAATATGTTTTATGGCTTTTCCTGTTTTGAAAGTTTATTTCAGGCTTGCAGTTGGACACCTACCCAGCTGAGGACAGAAGGAATGATATAAAATATAAGAAGAAAGTCACACGCTATGTTCCTACCGTACAATAAAAAAAATCTACCTTAGGTTTCTTCTAGAGCAGAAAGAAGAAACAATTATTCTAAGAGCACTTCACTTCAATTATTATTAAAATGCTGACATAAATTATATGGTTATATTATAGTTTATACAGTCCAAACAAAAGCAATTTTAATTCCAATTCAGCAATGTAGATATATGTTAATTTTCCCTCTGATAATCACTGCAACTTAATAAGGCTTCAGACTGGTTACCCTAATTGTTACAATTAACAAAAATTGGTATGTTGTTTTTCAGGATATAATAAAGTCAGACTAAAGAACAGCATGGAGCTTTCCAGGGCTCAGGGAAACATCTTTATTTTCTTTCAGTACAAAGATAATTCAGTATAAAATAATTTGAACAAGATAAAGCATGTTCATAAAGTATATATATAGCACTTCAGACATTTTTTCTGAAAGAAGAAATACATTACTCTTTTTTCTCACAATTTATAAAATAATAGCTACTCTAAAGTTTCTTCTTTTTGATATTATTACAGAAAACAAAAAGATTCCATCCAATCAATAATGTTTCATGATGGAGGCCAAAAATGCAGAATTTTTTTAAAGGGTCTATGACTTTTTAGGAGAATATAAGGCTACACTTAAGGAAAGTAGATTTTATTAATTATTGCCTCATATTGATTTTTTAACCATGAGGGCAAATAGCATGTAACAGGTGACTAAATTATAAAAACAAGAATAATTATACCAGGTGTTCTAAGAGGGGAACCATGATAGTTTATGGTAGCTAAAAAGCAGGAGGAGGCTAGTCATACCTTTTCCAACATCTGCATAGACCTAGATTAAGGTAGAATTTAAATTGGGAGGGGAAGACAGATTAGTTTTGTGGCTTTTGATGAATATGAAGATTTCTATGAACATGAGGAAATGTTTTGCAACTAACAAAAGCTTAGGTGTTAATAAAATTGTTAATCAGAAAAGGTGCTACCAGCTTCTTTCTGACTTTTAACCTTACTTGTAGGAAAATCCATTCTTACTGAGAATGTGTTCCTCATTATTAGACCATACACAATGCAGGTCACAACTTCAAATTCACCCTTTGTTCTTTTGTTTGAGAGCCAGTATAGTCTAATGGTTAAAGCACCAGGCTAGAAGGCAGAAGACTGTGAGTTTAAGTCCCACATAGCCATGAAAATAGCTGGATGATTTTCGGCCAGTCATTTTTATTCAGCTCAATAAGTTTCAGACCAGACTCAAATTAACATGCTTTAGACACATTATGCAAAGACACAGTTCTCTGGAAAAGACTAATGCTGGGAAAAGTAGAGGGAAATAGAAGAAGAGGATGACCAGAAGTGAGGTGAATAAACTCAGTTACAGAGGTGATGAGTGCACCATTGGAAGAAATGGAAAAACAGCTTGGGCACAGAGAATATCTGTGGCATTGCTAGGAGTTGAAAATGACTTGATGGTATATAATCAAGCAATCAATGAAGTTAATAATCCTCCCTTTCCATCAAGAAAACCAGAGTAGTAAAAAGAAGGATCTCTGAAATAAAATCCTTCATAAATATAACTCAGTTTTTAAAATGCACAGGGATAGAAGCATAACCCTTAATTTTCCAACAGAAAACATTCTGTAATAACTTTCTTCTTCAAGTGCTGAAATGAAATAGTGCACCACTTAGCCGTGGGGAAGGAGGAAATTCTACATTTAAAATATTTCCAGCCCCACCATATTCAGCTAAATACAGTTTTCTGACGTCCCTTTCTGTCATTTATGCAGACAAGATATCAACAGAAAACAAATTTATTGTCCACCTGCTACACAAAATCAGGCAGGAATGTAATTTTCATGCTATGAGTTCATTACTCCTTCAACATAATAATTAACCTGCAAATTATAGTGTAAAGGAATCCTGCTGTAGTTGTAGTTATTGGTAATTACTGAGCTTTGAAAAGCCAACGTATAGTTTTCGTAATGATAAAAAAACAATGTCATAAAAGTTAGATCCATATTATCTTTCTGCTTATTATGTAGCTAAGAACATGGTAATTGCCAACTTATGCAAATGTACACTTCTTTCTCATGTAGAAGACAGTTGGGAAATACTAATTCACTTATTTCTACAGCACATTTTGTGTAGCAAACCAGGGGAAATACTTTTCCATGACATGCTACTTACATATATATGTATGTATGTATGTATGTGTGTATGTATGTATGTTATTCAGCTTTGTTTGCATATTTTCCCACGTCATTATAGTTGTGCTTTTAAAGTTGTAGCAACGTTTCGGCAGAATCTCATCTGCCATCATCAGGCTTCTGTATTGTGTTCGTCTGTGAGTCAGACTTTTACAGTTGTTTCAGTTTTAAATTTGGGGCTAGCCTACTGCTGTGCCAGAATGTTTTTTTCTTCATCCTGATTGGTTGGGAGTCTTGGTCTGTGTTTATTGGTCTTGGAGTTTGCTGTGTTCTGCTTGATTGGTGTTTCTAATATCGTCTGTCTGTTTTGTGGCTTTTTTGTGTGTGTGTGTCTTGATTGGCTGACAACATTGTGTTCCTGTATTGGAGGCTTTTAGTGCAGCTTGGCTCTGAGTAAATGGACAGCTATCATTTGTTAGGAAGCTAGGTTTCATCTGGGTGCCTGGTTGGGGTGTGTTTGAGCTGGAGGTATCAGGGAGGATCTGTTTGTGCCCAGGTGTTTGCCTGGCTAGTGGTGTGGAGATTTTTTTGTTTGTGAGTGCAGGCTTCCAAATGATTGACAGTCTGGTGGAATCATCTCTTCTATTCATGCTTTCAGGTCTTTTTTCAATCTCTATGGCTTCTCTGATAATTCTGTGGCTGGGGTTTTCTATAGTGGCTAGGGTTTTGGTGCCATTGAAGTTGATGCTATGACCTGTGGCTTTCATGTGTTGGACTAGTGAGGAAGTGTGTTCCAGCTTTTTTACTGCATTTTTGTGTGAAAAGAAAACAACCAATATGCAAAAGAAGCTACACTTACCTGGTGATAAGAAGGAAGTAAATTGATAAAATATTTCACTATCCTTCTTTTGTCCACTATATCCAACAATGCTGCCAACATCTAATGGAAGTGTTTTGAGATGGGCACCAGTTGCCAGGTCATGAAGTTGCAGGACATTCTTCACATCATGTAGGTAACACAAGACTAAGAAGTTGGATCTAACACACGCCACCCATTCTGTAAATATGAAAGAAAAACAGCTGCCATATTTTCAGTATGTGATTGCAAGAAAATGTATTAGTTTTTAGAAAAATTGATCACTTTAATATATTTCACAGAAAGAACTTAACTTTCCTCTGTGTGTCATTAGGATCCTAAAAGATCATCAGATTCCTAAATAGATTTCGGCTTTATGCCAGCAAACACATTTAAGAATTTGCTCAGTGTTTGCTTTCAAGCCAATATATGGCAAATTGGCCCTCTATGTTGTTCTTAACAAAACCGTCTAATCAAGGCCTCATTATGAGCTTCCAATCTGCTCCCCAATGATAACCTATATGAATTTTCCCTAGCACTTTTAATGGACAGAATTAAGCAAAATAGCTGGGAAGGGAAATTAGAGAAGGAAATGCTGCTTCTCCTGCATTCTTACACTTCTTGCAACAAGTGAGCAGGTTAGTAAATAAATATGCCCTTATTTCCTTCTGTAACAAGATCATCTTAAAATGACAACTGCCAGGAAGGAAGCCCGCTCCTTGATTAAATCAGAGAAGGCATGGGACAGATAATAGTCTTGTGACAATGGGAATTGGTAGTTGGGAATTCAAGGAAGAGAAGAGAAGTCTTATGTCAATTTTTTGTCTGTCTGTCTGTCTGCCTGCCTGCCTGCCTGATGGAACCATTCTTTGCATTTTAATTGCTTCCCTATGTTATTTCTTATTCCATTCTGTTTTCTATCATTCTGCTCCCCAATACTTTCCATTTTAAGTATTACAAATATCCATGTCCTGATTCTTATCTTACTTTTATAAACCTTGATTTTTATTTGGCAAACTCTACTGAGTTGATGAAAAGGGGTCATGCTTTAAAGAGCCTCAAATGTCTATTAAACAGGGTATTTAGGCAACAGGGTATATTTCTATGAGTAAATACTGCCTTTTTGCTTATAAGGCACTCAATACTCCCAAGTAGCAGAAATCATTATATCTATCAAAGGGACAAATATGATTGCTCTACCTTGACTTTTTTTAAAAAAAGTCATCAACTTACAAGTCATCTTTAAAAGAAATGACACTTTGACCCTTGCTAACTATTATTGTCTTGGGATTTTTGCCCTATAGATCTTCAGTTTACTGTTACTGAAACTCACAGAACTGAGTCACAAACATATCTCAGCACTAAGTTTGTATAACTCAATTCAAGGATCACTCTTGATTGCTGATATGATACCTGTTGAGCAGCCAAGTAATAATATACAAAGAAGGGAGGTAGACTTAACAGCAAATCAACTTTTATACAGGATTGATTCACAGAAGTCATTTGGAAGGCACTTCCAAAACATCCCTATGTACACAGAGATAGAGAATGAGATAGGAACTGTATCTCATAAAATCCAGGAAATCATAGATGCCAACAATAGAGAATGTATGTAACTCAGGGTTGAATTGTTGGGTATTTTTCTGTTTTTTAGGCTTGGTGGTCTCTCTGCAGGCATTTTGTTGCCAGACTATACAGCATCATTACTGTGCATATTTTGTTATGTAGCCTGGCAGCAACATTTTGCAGGAACAGGGGGAAAAAAAGCCCACACACCACAAACCCAATCATACATATACCAATACCTGTGATGGAAAAGTGGACACGTGACTGTAGCAAAATACAACATCTATCAGTGTCAGAGCACTTTGTTTTCAGGAAGAAAGTCCCATATTTAATGCCTGTTACTTTGGGTTCAAGGTAAAGCCCTCCTATCTATGCTGTTTTGGAAGCTTTTGGAATTTAGGATGTAACGTAGAGGGTTTAGTACACTCCTTCATGGTCATAAACTTCTAAAGTTTATGTTGGATTAAGAATATAAATGTGAATTATAATATTATCAGGAATTTGATTGTAAGCCCATTTTTTGTTACCAGAGCAATGAGTCACTTATGCTAAGTGATCATTTAAGCTTTCTGTCACATATCTTGATTTTGTATAAAGCATTTCATTACTATGTCATTGTTATATCAGGCAGAATCAAAAATTCACTTGACTGCTAAGATTTTACAGCAATGCATTATTAACTGCTTTCAGCTATAATTATATCTTCTCAAATCAAATTTTGTAAATGACTAAATGGGTTAAAGTATTGTGACACAATAGCAGGTTGGCCTTTTAGGATCAAGATAATTTCCTTATTAAGTAAGATTTCTTAAACATGATCAAATGTTTATTATTACAATGATAATTGTAATAATTGAAGTTATATCATATTGTTAATGGTGATAGTACATGGCTACGGTACATGTTTAACATATAATGTTTAAAAATATCTGAATGGACACTGTCCCATTGTATTTAGAAGAGTTAATTTCTAAGTTAAAAAAGATCAATATGCACCCTGATAAACATCTGTCATCATGTTTAGAATATACTTATTCAAACATATCTTCCTGAACTATTACATTGCAAGGATATATTTTAAAACCATCACATCCCTCAAACAGCCTCAGCTATTCATTAAAAAAAATTAGGGGGGAGAATACTATAACTGTGCATTACTCATTTGTGAGTCATACAGCAATCATAGCTTCATAAAAATGTAAAAGTACAATTATGATATTTGCCTCTCAAAAGTTTCTTAAGTTGATCTTTGCTTTAATTAATATGAATAATGTATAGCTCTCCATAGTTATAATAGTGCTATCTTCTTGTATCTTGGATTATATTCTATTGTTGTTGTTGCTGAAATATATAACTTAAATAATCTTACCTAGAACATCTTTTCCATGCTCAGGAATCAGGACTTTCCATTTGGATTCCTCAGGTTCAACAAAATCAATGTTAATTAATCGATAGTTTGGAGCATGACGGTTTGTCTTGAAGGTGAAGGTTGTTCCCTCATTGGTGACGTACTCATATTCGGCATCAAAGTTGTCTATCAGTTTCACCCATTGCAAAAGACCTATATTAAGATAATAAAGAAATTTACTCTAAAAGATATAAGCCAAGTTGGTAAATTATAAAATGTCTTTTACACTCCGTATGAGGTTATTTACAAATGCCATAACTGCAAGTTACTCCTGAGGAAAGGTACACTTGAATTATGAAGATTCTTCTCCATGCTGCATTGAGAGCCCAGGATGGGTTGACTCCTTCCTATGATGTCATTTAGCTGAGTCTGTATTAAGATATAAAAGCCAGCCTCCGGGAGAGACCCCAGCTTTTGACTCAGCTCCTTTCAGTCAGTAGCTGTGTCTCTGAAAGCTTCTGTTAGATAACACTCACCAGCGATTTTCAGTGCCGTTTTTCCTCATTTCAAGCAAGGTTGGGAGCAGCGTTGCCAGAGCGCTGTTCAGGCAAGTTGGGCAGCATCTGTAGACCTCCCCCATCCCTGCAGTTTGAGCGGTTGTAAAAAGCGATCGGCAAACCGATGACAGCTTCAGCCAGCTGAGGTTCTGTAGATAGCACTCACCAGCGATCTTCAGTACCTTTTTTCCTCACTTCAGCAGCTCCCAGGATCTGGGCAGCTGCTCTTCCAGGAGAGCAGGGCTCTCTCTCCTGCAGCGTTGGGAGCAGCGTTGCCAGAGTGCTGTTCAGGCAAGTTGGGCAGCGTCTATAAACCTCCCACACGCCTGCAGTTTGAGCGGTCGTAAAAAGTGATCGGCAAACTGATACCAGCATCAGCCAGCTGATCGTTTGGCCAGAGGCTGCCCTTTCCTTTGCTGACTTCACTCGGGGCTCTTTATAGCCTAAGGAGAAATTCTTCGATCTTGGAGTCTGTTTCCCATAGTCAGTGGCCATCTTGGATTGAAGCCTTCCACCATGAGGTGAGCGGCCATTTTGTAAGCCCGGGGGCCATTTATACCCTAAGGGGCTTAATACAAAAAAATTACAAACAGTTTCTTTCCATCGTAAGAGCCTTTATTCTTCAAATGGAGCAAGATAAGGGTCAGGCAGAGTCGTCCCCCTCAATGGAACAGTCTCTTAAGCCAATAAGAGAAAAAGTTGTAGGCAACACATCCAATCAGTCCAGAGGGTGGTGGCTGCTAAAATCAGAGCTAAGGCTCTAGCCCCTAAGAAGGCAACTCAGGCTGAGTTGAGGGCAGAAAAGCGCACACATGCAGCCCTAGAGAGGCAGTTCAACAGAACTATTCAACAGAAGGGAGTGCAACTATAGCATGTTTCAGGTGATACCTGTGGGCCCCAGCCAAGCCCTCCCAGGGGAGGAGAAGTTATCTATGAGCCTGTCTCCTGAGGCTTTTGCAGTACAATGATCCTCAGGATCTAAGCAGATCTGGGCCTTATTTCTAACAGGCTTCTGGGCCCTATGCTCCTACCCTCCAGGCCTCGAACCTCTTCTCAATCTAGGCCTGAAGTCACCTTTACTCCCTCAGCAGTGGGCCTTCGGCCTTCTGCCCCTACCTTTGAGCATAGATCAGGGGATATCCAAGATGTTGTCTCTTTGGCCATTAGGCAGGGATTGGCTGAAGGCTTCAAGCAAATCCTTCGACCTCCGGAAAGGGTTCAGGCCCTTCTCCCTTCTCAATCTATAAGTTGTCTCATCACCCTGATTTACACAGGCCCCAGGACCTCAGGGTCCATTCTTCTCTACCAGAATGGGAGGAGGTTGATGAGAAGGGAAGGGCTTCACCATCTGAACACAGTTACTCCTCTCGTTCAGAACGTGAAGAGGGTGAGACCAAAATCTTTCAGAGGAAGAAGACTCTCGCCAGGCCCAGAGCCAATCCTCTGCATTGGTCTTCAATCCTTCTCTCTTCAGGCCATTACTCAGCATGGCCTTGGTCACTGTCAAGCTGTCGCCAGAGGAAGTGGCTCCCGAGCCACAAGGAATTCCCTCTAGCCAGGGAGACTCATTCTTCTCCAAGCCTGTAGTGCATGCAGGGGTTTTGCCTTCTCCCACTTTGTTCCTGGACATGGTCAAGGAACAGTGCGCTTCCCCTTCGGCAGGTCCTCGCCCATCTTCTCTGGACAAGCGTTTCTACAATGTCAGCGCAGCCCTGGACAATTCCCTGGCAGTGCTTTCTGTTGACATTCCGGTTCTGGCCTCGTTCCCATTTTCTGGCACTCTCACATGGGCATCCATACGGTGGCTGCACCAACTCCAGATTAGATTGCCTACATCTGACCTTCGGTCTCACCAAGGCCTTAATAAGATTATCGCAGCGGCGGAATTCACTGCAGATGCCACTCTCAATTCCGCCAAATTTGCATCTAGGGCCATGGCATCTTCAGTAGCAGCAAGAAGACTGTTATGGCTCAGAAATTGGCAGGCGGAGTCACGCCATAAATGGAAGGCAGTTTCAGTTCCATTCGCAGACGATCAGTTTTTTGGTGATGCTCTGGAATCTTATCTCATCGAAACCAGATATAAATGTAAAATTCTCTCTTCCTCTGGGAAGAGAGCCAACTATCGCCCAGCTCCTTATACTGGTAAACAGCCCTTTCAGGAGGGTGGGGGTCGTTCCTGCCGTTGCTCTAAGTAATCCCTCATTCTCCCTACTCATCGGAGGTCGCCTAGCCTTCTTTGCCTCCAAATGGGAGGAGTCAACGGCGGATGCCTGCGTGCTCAGCATTATTAGGTCAGGATTACAACTGGACATCCTAATGCACCCCCCCACCCCAATTTTTTTTTTAATCTGTCCTGTCTCTCGGGACATTTCAAGGCAAGACCTCATGAATCAGCCCATTAACTCCTTCTTGAAATCCGAGCTATTCAAACCTGTTCCCCCCTCTCAATGGGGACGTGGGCTTTATTCTCGCCTTTCATCATTCCCAAAGACCCCCCTGGGGGGGGGGTAGCGAACCACCATGGATCTAAAATTTCTCAACCAATTTGTAAAATACAGGCTATTTAAAATGCAGACTCTGCATTCTATTTTAGAGAGTGTTCGGGAGGGCGATCTCTCTTCCACTGATCTCATGGAGGCTTACCTCCACATCCCTATTTGGCCTCATCATCGCCAGTTTTCTGTTTCTGTTATCAGAATACCCATTACCAGTATCGAGCACTTCCCTTTGGCCTCTCATCGGCTTCAAGGGTCTTCACGAAGGTTCTGGCAGCATTGATGGCATCTCTGCTTTCTGTTCCAGTGAGGATCCAATGCTACTTGGACAACATTTTGATTCTGTCCTCCTTCATCCATGCAGCCCATCGGGATCTGCAAATTACCCTATTGTCATATCACCAGAGCCACGGATTTTTCCACTCCTGTCCACTCTAATGGTTCCTGCTTCCCTACCAACGAGCAGGAACCAGCCACTCATCCATCAAGGTCCTGCTCCCGCCACAAATCAGGCGGTCTCTCAATTGGTGGTGTTCCCCATTAATCTGGAAGGGACTCCTTTTCAGGTCCCAGACAGGCTAGTGATAACCACCGATGCCAGCCTCCTGGGTTGGGGTTCCCATATGCAGGACCAGATAGCTCAGGACCGTGGTCCAGGTCAGAGCAGGCCCTTCCCATAAATTGGCTAGAGCTCAGAGCCATTTTTCTAGCTCTCAAGCATTTCAGGCACTCAGTGACCAGCTCTCATGTTCAAGTCCTTATGGACAACATGCCGCCATGGCTCATGTCAACTAGCGGGGGGGGGGGAACGAGGTCCAGAGCCCTCATGGGAGAGGCTTTACGGTTGGGGTTATGGGCAGAGCAACACCAGTTGTCGATCTCGGCGGACCACTCTCTGGGATCAACAACTCCCAGGCCGACTGGCTCAGCAGGAGCCTAGTTGACCAGGCAGAATGATCTATTCCTCCTTCTCTATTCAGGGACCTTTTCCTCAGATTTGGAACGCCGGAGGTGGATCTTTTCCACTCCTCAAATTGCCCAGGTCACCAGATTCTTCACCAGGTTTCCTTGCCAGGGAGTGGAGGGGACCAATGCCCTTCGGTGCAGATGGCCCAAAAGTCTCCTCTATGCCTTTCCCCGCTTCCCATCATTCCAGCAGTAATTCAGAAGATGTTGGAGGAACGAGCGGAGCTCTTCCTCCTGGCACCCTATTGGCCAAGGACGGTTTGCAGACCTGGTCAACCTGTTGGTGGCTTCTCCTTGGAGGATCCCAGCCCATCTAATCTCCCTTCATCAGGGGATTCTGCTCCACCCGGAGCCCCAGTGGCTCAAGCTGACCATGTGGCACTTGAGTGGCAGTGGCTAGAGGTGGCTGATCTTCCTGAAAGGGTCATCATCACTATCCTGGCATCTCACAAACCTCCCACAAGGCACATCTATGATGCCACCTGGAAGGCCCTTCCCTCTTAGGGAGGGTTTCTCTCTCACGCTTTAGCCCAGTTGGCAGAGGTTCTTAGATTCCTTCAGCATGATCTGGAGAAAGGTTTGGCCCCCAACGCCTTACATAGGCAGGTTGAGGCCCTCTCCTCGGTTCTTTCATGGGGTTCGCTTCCTTCCTTATCCCATCACCCTTCAGTCAGGAGATTTTTGAAAGGGGCTTCCAACCTGCACCCACCGGTGGTTCACAGGTATCCTTCCTGGGATCTTCATGTGGTCCTTTATGCCCTTGCAAAGCCCCCTTTTGAACCCCTTAGAACATTGTCTCTCCATTTCCTGACTCTGAAGGTAGTGTTCCCCGTTTCCATCACTTCAGCCAGGTGGGAATCCGAGCTCCTCTTTCCATCAGACAGGACCTTTGTTCCTTTCATGATGATAGGGTTGTCCTCAGTCTGGACCCCTCATTTATTCCAAGGGTTAACACCTGTTTCACAGGTCCCAGGACATTATGTTGCCTGGCTTCTTCCCCCTCCCGCACCATGACTTAGAGCAGCAGTGGCACTTGCTAGACGTAGGTAGGGCTCTTAGAATATACATTAAGCGCACTTCCTCCTTCAGGAAGTTTGAAGCCATTTTGTTTCCTTTTCCCTTCTCACTTGGGGCACAAGGCCTCTTCTCCTACTATTAGCAAGTGGGTCAGATCTTGCATTGAGCAGGCCTA